CCGCTTCTATTTTCTTTTGAGGACTATGCTGCCCGGCTCGTTCCAACGCTGGGTACTCAAGCTCAAGGACAAGGAGTGTGTGCGGTTTCTTCTCCGTCCGGCAACAGCGACATATCATCTTCAAGTGGTTCGTCACGGGATTCGGCGCGTGAGTTCAAGATAGAGGTTTTGGACCCGCTCACGTCTGAGGACTTTGCATGGCTTCCTCTCCCGACCACAGGCTGTTTGTCGGGACCGCAATGCGCAGCACTATGCGCTCATCTCCACACTTACCTTTCCTTCTATGCACCACCAACTTCGCCGACGGATGATGAAGTCGCGGTGGGGGACATCCTGGCATATGTTACCAAGGTGGCCCGCGAGTTTCGCACGCAGCGGTACGATAACAACAATGCACCGCTCATGTATGTCCGCATTCAGGTTGGGCAAGCGTCCTGCAGCGCTTTGCTCGATAGCGGTGCGTCTCGCAACTTCATGAGCCAGTCTTTTATGCAAAGAGCTGGCCTTGGCGCACAAGTTCGGAGGAAGGCAAACCCGACGTCGATCAAGTTGACGGATGGTAAGACGCAACAACTTCTCGACCGTTACATCGAGGCCGTACCGGTCTACTTCGCACCTCATGCATGCGAACCGGTAACATTCGATATTCTCGACACGGACTTCAACATCATTCTGGGAATGCCTTGGCTCGCGAGTGCGGATCACACGATCAACTTCCATCGGCGGACTCTTAGCGTTCGCGACGCCTTCGGCGCGGAAGTGGCGTCCAATCAGGAGCCAAGTGGTGACGGCCAAATCATTCCGGGCGCCAAGTGGTGACGGCCAAATCATTCCGGGCGACTTGTGCTTACAAGCAGCCCGAGGAAATCGGCCTATGTTTCCTACGGACCGTCGCGGTAGCCGACTCTTCACCCACGGACTTGTCTTCGGACCCCCGTGTGGTACGGTTGCTGGACGAGTTCGCCGACATCTTCGAGTCACCTACCGGTGTGGTGCCGGGTCGTCGATCTCTCACGAGATCATTCTTGAGGCCGGTGCCGTGCCACCGAAAGGTTGCATCTATCGGATGAGCGAGGAGGAGCTTGAGGTACTCCGCGCACAACTCGATGATTTGTTGGCCAAGGGCTGGATCCACCCGAGTAGCTCTCCATATGGAGCACCAGTTCTCTTCGTCGGGAAGAAGAACAAGGATCTACGATTGTGCATCGACTACCGCAAGCTCAACGCGCAAACCGTCAAGAAAGCGGGGCCTCTTCCTCGCATCGACGATCTTCTCGAGCGGCTGGGCGGTGCGGAGTGTTTTTCCAAGTTGGATATGAAATCAGGATATCATCAAATCTCGATTCAGCCGAACGACCGCTACAAAACAGCATTCAAGACGCGGTACGGGCATTTTGAGTGGGTGGTCATGCCTTTTGGCCTCACCAACGCCCCGGCGACGTTCCAGGCGGCGATGACCAATGAGTTCCGTGCAATGTTGGACCGGTTCGTGCTGGTCTACTTAGACGATATTCTTGTCTACAGCCGGACATTGGAGGATCATCTTGGACATCTTCGACGAGTGTTGGAGACGCTCCGCCGTGCCAAGTACAAGGCCAACCGCGACAAGTGTGAATTTGTCCGGCAAGAGCTGGAATACTTGGGCCATTTTGTCACACCGGAGGGCATCAGTCCGCTATCGGACAAGATTCACGCCGTCCAAGAGTGGCCGGAGCCTCGGAACGTCACGGATGTCCGCTCGTCCCTCGATCTTACCGGCTACTATCAACGTTTCATCAAAGGCTACTCCAAGATCGCGGCCCACTTGAACAAGCTTCAGTGCGAGGATCGGCCATTTGACTTCGGAGAGGAGGCGCGAGGATCATTCTTCGCTCTCAAAGCCGCTCTATTGTCTGCGGAGGTCTTGCGAATCTACGACCCGCTCGCGCCTACGCGTGTCACTACGGATGCCTCAGGCTATGGCATTGGTGCAGTCCTCGAGCAACATGATGGTGTGGACTGGCACCCGGTCGAGTACTTTAGCAAGAAAGTGCCCCTCGTGCATTCCATTGACGATGCACGCAAGGAGCTCCTCGCCTTCGTCCACATGCTCAAGCGGTGGCGGCACTTCCTCCTTGGTCGAAGCCAATTTCGCTGGGTAACGGACAACAATCCGTTGGTCTTCTACAAGACCCAAGACACCGTCAACAGCACCATCGCTTGATGGATGGCTTTCATCGACCAGTTCGACTTCTTTCCCGATCACATTCCCGGGAAGTCGAACCGTTTTGCGGATGCTCTTTCACGGCGTCCGGATCACTGTACCGCGGTCTACTCAACGTTCGAGATCAACGACGACCTGCGGAACAGCTTCATCCGCGGCTACCAAACCGACCCCGATTTTCGCGACAAGTACGCGAATTGCTCCTCTCCTAATCCGGTTCCTTCTCACTACCGGATCCAAGAGGAGTACTTGCTTGTCCACACGCGGGGGAAGTACCTTCTTTGTGTACCGAGTGATCCTCACTTGCGTACACGGCTTCTTGGCGAGTTCCACGACGCTCCCTTCACTGGACATTTTGGAGTCAATCGCAGGATTGGCCGACTTCGCCAACGATTTTGGTGGCCCGGCCTTCTCGGCGACGTCACGCGCTATTGCGAGTCATGCGAGGTTTGCCGACGCTGCAAATCCCGCAACCATCGTCCGTACGGCGAGTTACGACCATTGCCAATCCCGTTGAGGCGAAGGGAAGCGATTGCCATGGACATCACCGGCCCGTTCCCCAAGCACACGACCGGAGTGGATGGGATTCTCACGGTGGTCGACCGACTCACCAAGTTCGCCATGTTTTTGCCTTGTCATTATCATGCCAAGGCACCGGAGTTGGCCGAGGTTCTGTATGCCGGTTGGATTCGCACCAAGGGTTACCCCAAGGAGATCGTCTGCGACCGCGACACTCGGTTCATGTCCGATTTTTGGTTGGCGCTCATCAAGCGATGGGGCTCATCTCTCAAGCCCAGTTCAGCTCGCCACCCTCAGACCGATGGCCAGACGGAGAGGGCGCATCAGACCGCACAGGTTCTCCTTCGCACTCTCATCCGCCCCGACCAGAAAGACTGGGTTGAGCRACTGCCGGAYGTKGAGTTGGCCTACAACTCTTCCATCCACCCGGCTATTGGGATATCGCCCTTCGAGTTCGAGCACGGCTCGCCGGTCACGTCACCGTTGGACACGATTACTCCACGCACGGCCGAGAGCGACGACCATCTTCTTTTCTTGCGGCGGATGCAAGAACTTCTTGTCAAGGCACGCGACCAGATGGCTAAGACGCGACAGCGCATGCGCCTACAGACAAATCGCCAGCGTCTTCCTTGTCCATTCCGCGTCGGAGACCTTGTCTGGGTTTCAGCAGCGGAATTTAGCCTTGAGCAGGACATCTCTCGCAAGCTCCTTCCGAAATGGATGGGGCCTTGGCCGATCATCGAGCCCGCTGGGGACGCACCTGAGGGGCCTTCCTTCACGATTCAGGTGCCTAGCCACTTGCCCGTCCACCCAGTCTTTCATTGTTCCAAATTGGCTCTGTACACGCCTGCGGAACATGATCATTTTCCCGGGAGACGTACGCAGGATCCACCTTCTATGGATGGTTTTCAGGAGGTCGGCGACATCATCTCCCAGCGACGGTACGACAACAAGCCAACTGAGTATCTGGTGCATTTTGCTTACTGCACTCATCGAGCTGATCGTTGGTTGACCTGTGCGGAACTGCAAGCGACAGCTCCAGACGTCGCACGCTACGAGCGCAAGATGCAAGGCAAGCCGGATTCTTCAGCTCCACGCCGCGCCCGCGTCCAGGTTCCACCTTCAGACCGACGGCTTCGCCCTCGCCCCAGCTTGACTTCATAAGGAGGGGGGGCTGTTACATGCAGCGCGTGCACACACGGGCCATTTTGCAGGCCCGACGGCCATTTTGCAGGCCCAACTGAATTCAGGCCAAAACCCTGGATTTCAGGCCGAAAGCCTGAAATTCAAGGCTTACAGGCCCCATTTCAGTTTAGGCCGAAAGCCTGACTTCCAAGGCCTACAGCCCCTGCGACGGTTCAGACTAAAAATGGTAATAGCATTTTTAGCCTGAACCCAAGGGCCATTTTCGGTCGTTCATCAGAACGACCGGCCCTGAAACTCAGGCACCGAACCAGGGTTTTGGGAACAGCCTATATTTAGACTGTTCCCACGCCTGCCTCAAGCAGGCTGCTGCACGCCAGCCCCTGGCACACTTCGGCATTGGCAAGAGCTGCCTCCTCGGCCTGCTCGCCCTCCTGCAGTCAGGAGGCAGGCCGAGGAAGTACTTAGGGACTTCCCAGGCACTTCACGGGTAGCCAGTTCGGCAGTTGTAGTCTTCAGGATTCGGGTGCAGCACTCTGGAGGGAGCGCTGCGTTGTAGTAGAGTAGCGTTAGCTAGTAGTCTCCAGCGCTGGGCGCAGTAGGTAGCTGTAGTCTTCGGCGCTGGGCGCCATAGCTAGGTAGTGGTAGAGATGATGGGCGGAGGCCAGGGATCACTTATCTGCAGCGCCGTTGCTCCAGCTCCGTCGTCGAGGTACCTGCAGCACAGCGCCAACATCACAGGTTAGTACCTGGTTCGTAACAGTGAGAGAGAGAGAGTTCTCTTCTTCCTCTTCTCAGTCCCCCATCTTCTCCTTACCCTCTCAACTTCTGACTTCCCTGCAGTTGCAGACTACGAGAGAAGAGATATCGGGCTTGGTGACATATGATCCAGATTCGACTTTTTGGGGATTCAGACATGGCAACGAGGGACTATTTGGGATTGGTGACCAAGACTTGGTGTTAACGACATTCCCATCCTTCTCCCTCCTTTTCGTCTGATCCTTATCTCTTCGTCTGTGTATGTCTGGACCTGGCGCTTGCTTCCCGTGTTACAGTGCCAGGCTCCTTCACACTGAGTGATGGATACAATGCATGTTTAGCCTGAGTTCAAACATTGATTGGGCTAGTTAGAGGTACTCTAGCATTCTGTTTCATTACCCTGAACTACGTGAATGAGGTCAGTCCTGTCAGGTCAGTCTTTGTATCAAAGTCTTCCCTGCGCTCTTCAGCATCTTTATGTATGAATGAGAATGTACATTGTTTGTYGAGATTCTACTCGTACCGCATTGTCTATTCAGTCCTTTTCATCACATTGCAGATTCTCGGTTTATTACGTACATTGCAGATCTGTGCATGTAACACAGTAAGTGTATGACCAACACAGCATGTGGGACATGCTAGGAGAGGATGTGGTGAATGATGGCATCGGGGATAGTCCATGCAATAGAGACACATACTTTCTATAACAGCTTCCTGGAAACATTGACGGCACATGGCACGTTGCTGACATGTCATCAGCAAAGAAGGCTGACGTGCGCAAGTATTCAAGCATGACAGATCAAGGCCACAACGGCATGCTGGGCAAGTAATCAAGGGGTGGGGGGGGTGAGCAGAAGACAAAGAATCGCAGTGTTTGCGGCAGAGGCTGGCAGCAACCATCCCTTCATAGTGTTCGCAGCAGAGGCTATGCCGTGCACATGCTAACCGGACTCTACTCGTGTGACGACACAATGGGAGGAGAGCGCAATCTCCATACTCTGGAGAGGTCCATTCACTGTTCGTGGTAGAATCCATCTCATCTACAGAGGGAGGGGATGATGTCTGATCAAGCACAGGGGAAGCCGGATTGCTGTCCGGAGGCAGTAGTGCTTGTGAGTGCTCATCGCCATACTGTTCGTGATGGATGAGCCAGACTGAGTGGTGTTCTACAGCTTGGTGGTAGAAAGAGTCGATATTTCTTGCTGCGTGCACCCTACCGCCATTGTCCCATAGGGTCCATGAGTTATCTGCAAAGGTAAGAGCACTGAAATGACCTGGACGCTGTAAGATGTATGCCTCTGTGTGTGTGTGTGTGTGTGTGTGTGTGTGTGTGTGTGTGTGTGTGTGTGTGTGTGTGTGTGTGTGTGTTGTTATAGCACCCCGAATTCTCTCTCATTTCCTCCACAATCATAACAAACCATCCATAACGAAAAAGTATAGATAGACAATATAAATAGAAAATGCAAGGTTGGCCACATTTGTGTGGTTGAGTGCCAAGTGCCCACACACCCGTCTGCCGCCGAAGCGGCACACTTGCACATATACATATATTACTTGATCCATAAAAGGGTGGAGGGCAAGAAGCAACTTTCCTAAGACAGAGGACTCCAGCAGCAAGAAAGCACCGACCCCATCCGCCATAGGTCCAAAAAAACTTGGAGAGCCCTCCACGTTGGCCCACAAACCACAAAACGGCATAACACAAAAGGCTCCACTAACAAAGGCACCAACCACACATGCCAATTGTCTAAAAAATACACGGCAGGACCTGTACGCAGCACCAAGAGTGCCATGAACCTCCCCCTGCTGCCCAACCGGCAGAATCAGATGATGTCCTAGTGCTACAGCGAGGCCACTGCAAGAACTACGAAAAATTACGCAAGCTCTCCACACGACACCAGGAGCGCTACTGCTTAAAACACCCTAGAAGGCACCCCATTCTTCCATGTGCTCCGAAAGAGCAGCCTGCAGGAATGACACCCACAGCGAACACTCTCTGAGCCTCCTTGCAGAGATATTGTGGCGAAAACCCCAAACTCCCACACCAGACAAAACTTGTGGCCACCCACAGACATTACTTCACCGACAAGACAGCCCATGGTACAAAGCAGGGCAAAGAATTAGGCCATGCAATGGCATGCATTAAAAAAAAAAAAAAAAAAAACACATCCATCAACAGAGAAAGAGTAGCTCGCTAGTACGACCCGATCCTAACCGCTCAAATCTGCCAATACAGAGAGCTAGCAGACTGGAATGTGTGTGTGTGTGTGTGTGTGTGTGTGTGTGTGTGTGTGTG